TCTGCAGTTCCTCCCTTTTCAGTTCCTCCTCCCTTCCCTTCAATCTCCTTCCTCTACTCCACTGATCTGCTCTCTGTGTTCATGGGACATGCCCCCCCCACACTTATTTTCCTTCCTCTGCTCTAGCTTCTGCATATGAGAGAAAACATTCAACCCTTAACTTTCTGTTTCTGGCTTATTTCACTTAGCATGAATGATCTCCAGTTGCATCCATTTACCAGCGAATCACATAATTTCATTATTATTTATGCTAAGTAAAACTTTATTGTGTATATATAAGATATTTTATTTATCCATTCATCTATTGATGAGCATCTGGGTTGGTTCCATAACATGGCTAGTGTGAATTATGCTGTTATAAGCATTGATGTGCCTGCATCACTATAGCATGCTGATTTTAGTTCTGTTGAATAAATACCAAAGAGTGGGATAACTTGGTCACACGGCGATTCCATTCCTAGTCTTTTGAGGAATCTCCATATTGCTTTCCAAAATGGTTGTAGTTTTCAGTCCCACCACAATATATGAGCATACTTTCCTCCCACATCCTGGCCAGCATTTATTATTACTTGTATTCTTGATAAAATGGCAGTGTCTCTTGATCTTTCAACCTTTCCTCAGAACACTGAAGTGTACCCCATCCTGAGCTCTGCTCTCCACGACCCGCATTACTTTGAAGAACCAGACACCTTCAACCCTGACCGCTTTCTGGATGCCAATGGCGCACTGAAGAAGAACGAAGCTTTTATCCCCTTCTCAGCAGGTAGGCTGGACCTGGGATCCCTTCAAAGACACCAGGGGCAGGTCCCATCTGCTCCTTGAGACACACAATGATAGGTCTTTGTTTTGTGAGCACTCAGCATATTCCAGTTGCTTTACCTGTACTTTCCCATTGCATCTTCACTTCCACCCTGCCAGGAGACTTGAGAAGTGACATTATGTCCCAAGGCTCGCCTTGATGAGCAGGACCCTGGGCAAATGTTGGAAAATCTCTAGACCTGAGCAAAGTCACCTTATTTTAAAAATGGAGCAACAACTAAAAACTAATGCAGCACTGGGTCCAGGGGACGAAAAATAATGTGTCAAACAAATCACATAAAGACACAGATCCTGCCCAGGAAACTTGTAGTTCGGCAGCTGAGATAGATATTCATCAACCAGTCCCCAATAATCATCCAATTAAATTATTTAATGCCCCTCCTGGGCTAAGAACTTCCAGACACAAAGTATACACTAACAGGGTCAAGTATTATCATTAATCAGGTATTGGAAGCACAAAATAGGAAATACTAATTTTGGTGGGTAGGTGAGGAAAAGCTCACCTGAGAAACTCGTTTCCAGGCAGAGGCCTGGTGGGTGAGTGTTGATCAGCTACTGAGAAAGAAGGTTCCAGGTGGTTCCAGGCAACAGCAGGGCCGAGCCAAGTGGCCCATGAGAGCAACTGTAAGAAGCTCTAGGTGTAGATTAGGAAAGGGGCTGAGGGTGAAGAGCTCAGATGGGTGGAGCCTCAGGGGCTGGAGAGGAGTTTGCTCTGATGCCTGAGCATGGGGCTGAGGAAAGTCTTGGACACACTTGTCCCTGTTCCCACTCTCTACTATGGCTTGGTAAAAGAAAATTTTAGACAGATTAAATTTTGTAGAATTAATTTTAGCTAAGTAACACTTCATGAATTGACCACATCCTGCAGTGGTGAAGATTTAGAGAGTTCCACCCAGCTGCATGGGCAGGTAGTGTTGCAAACAGAAAAAGGAACCAAATAGCAGAAATAGGTGGGTTAGTTTGGCTCCCTGCAGCTGCCTTGGATAGATGTGAGCGGTTTGCACCCTGCAATTGGCTGAAGCACAGTGCTGGGATTGGCTGAGCCTTGGTTACTTGTTCCAAGAATGTGCTCTCATGTTCCATTGCCCTTTGGTTAATATGAAATTAGGGTGCAGTTTACTCAGTGGGGTTTAGATTAGATTTAACTATTTAACTTGAAAGTTCCACCCAAGGAAAACTCAACATCTAGGTTCCTCGTCTTTGGGGAGGAAGGAAGGCCCCAGAAACAAGTTCCTAATTATGAGTTTCATCAGTGACATCAATGGCCCAGACTCTGGCTCAGCCCCCAGTTCTGTAGAAAGTGGTCTTCTGGGTCCTTGTTCTGTCTTCAGTGAGAGCAGGGAACACATGGGGTGGTGGATGAAGGTCAACTCCCTATCCAGTAGCCCTGTCCTAAGTTTAGGGAGAGACAGAGACTTAGAGGAGTAAGGACTGAAGAGAGCTAAGCAACGGAGAAGAGATGGGGACTAGACAGAGAGAGGGACAGAGACAGGGAGATCATGGCAGAGGAGACAGTCTGTTAGAGACAGAGAGTGAACCTGAGACCACGGAGGAAGCAGAGAGAAAGAGAAGTAGAAACAAAAAGGAGAGAAAGAATAGCAGCATCAGGAGGAGAAGAAGGCGGGCAGTGGAGGAAGAAGAAGAAGAAGAGACAGAAAAAAGAGAGACAGAAGTAGAGAGGTATATTTAGAGGGATATGAAAAATATGATAGGGACATAAAGGTATAAATAGATGAGAGAGGTAGAATAGGCAAGGAATTTAGATGGAAGAAAGTGAAAAGAGAAGAAAATATAAAAATGAACATAGAACAGTGTGTGTCATGTGTATTTAATGACAAGTATAGACTTTGCCTGAACAGAAAGAGGCACTGAACCAAAGAATGTGAGCATCAAGGAGATATCAGAAGGTGTCCAAACAGAAAGACAGTTCTAGGGATGGGGAGGGTGTGCTGAGTGGGAGACAACAGGCCTTAGCTTGTTCTGGAAAAATCTGGGTCACTGAACCAGTTTCAGCAGAACCTGCCCAGAGATCCACCCCGAATACTTCCAAGGTTCCATCTCCTGACATCTGGAAATGCCAAAAGAACACAGACCCCTTGCCAGACGCATTCACACAAGCACAACTTTGCAGCAGCTTGAAAAGTGCAGGGGATGCCTGGAATCCCTTCCTCCACTGGGCCTTCCCAGGGCGGTCAGTTTGCAGATGAGGAAGGACTGAAGCACCTGGAGGCGCTCTGCGTCCCTACCTGACTTTTCAGGCCCTCTCTGACTCCTTCCTCTCTAAGCCTGTGGTCTGTAAACAAGAGGGGGTTTTCCAAACCCTTCTGAGTATCCATCTGAGGGAAGCCATAGAAACCCTGCTCATGGGCATTGGTCCCATTCACAACTTTATGAATAATTTTTTTAAGAGAATTCTTGGAGCTGGTGGATTTCAGGTTAAAACTAGAAGAAAACCCAGAGACAGACATAACACAGAGTGCCAGAAACACACACAGCCATGTTCCTAGACGCAAGACTACTAATCTAGGATTCTTAACAGGAGCCACATGTTAGTCTAAGAGTTTCTACAAATACTAACTTTACCTGATAGGTACTGTTCTCATATGAGAAGTGAAAAACACTAAAAAACGTCAGAAATATGTGCTCACTGAACCCACATACCTTGACACACCCAAGCACAGATTAGTCCTTATCTCCCATGGGGCCACTGAACCTTTGGTAATCAAACAAAAACTACATTTTCTTTCCAACAAAATGAACATGGGATAAGATCTGTACCTCATTTCAGATTTGGGAACTCTCTAAGAGTCCACACTGAATATCAGGTTAAAGGTCAAGCCTGTGGAAATCCATTGCAGTGCACAGGTGCATGGGCTTTGGGGTGTGGTGGGTACACTGGCCCTGAGCCCACTCGGTGATCCTCTGTGCCCACAGGGAAGCGCATCTGTCTTGGTGAAGGCATCGCTCGCAATGAACTATTCCTTTTCTTCACCACCATCCTCCAGAACTTCTCTGTGGCCAGCCTGGTGGCTCCTGAGGACATCGACCTCACTCCTAAGGAGAGTGGTGTGGGCAGAGTAGCCCCAACATACCAGATCTGCTTCCTTCCTCACTGAATGGGCTGATGGAAGAGGGATGAAAGATTCCAGGGTTATTAAGTTCCCCTTTTTCTTTGAAAAAGTAGGTGATGAGTAGTTATCTTGAGCTCCTGGATTCTTGTTCTGAGGATATAATATCCTGTTGTCACAAAAGAGGACTAATAGAAAAGAGAGCAGTCCAATAATATACCATGCAGAACATTTCAGTATGTTTCCAGGATTTCCATTTAATTCTCAAAGTATTTGATCAGCTAAAGAGATAGGATCCAAAAGATCATCATATCTTGAATATGATGATGTAACTTCAAAAGATCCAAGCTGTTATTATTGTTCTGCCAAATACCCAATAGATCGTTTTTAACCTTCTCCCAATCCCATTGGGAAGCATGAGATATGGCCACCAAAACTGTGACTGCAGAAGCAATAAATGAAACTAAGGCAGCCTCTTCAAGTATGTGCATCAGTGAATTTTCCCTTTATAGGCATGATAGCTTGTGCCAAAAAATTTTGACAAAGAGTTGGACTATTACACATACCCTGAGGTAACACCTTCCCACAATATCTCTTAACTGGTTTCTTAAAATTTATTGCTGGAACACTAAAAGCAAATTTTTCATAATCATCTGGATGGAAGGGTATAGTGAAAAAACAATCTTAGATCTACCACCATTAGGTGATAATCAAAAGTAATTGCTGTAAGAGAAGGAAGCCCTGGATGCAAGGCTCTCATGGGCTCAATAACACAATTAATTGCCCTAATATCTTGAAGCAACCTCCATTTAGCAGACTTCTTAATCACAAAATCTAGTGTATTCCAGGGACTAAAAGTAATTCAATATGGCCAGCCTGAAGTTGTTCCTAGACCAAAATATTGACTATTTTAAGTTTCTCCCCTGTTAAGGACCACTAACAAACCCAAACTGGCGCTTCTGTAATCCAGTTAATCTTTTCTGCTGTGTTTTGGGCTGGGAAGGAAATCAGTGCAAAACAGCCAAAAAGTTTGATTGGGTGGATTAACTTGTCTTCTCTGAGAAGACTGAGTTATAGGTAAATACCTTTATTGTGAATTCCCTTCAAATTCCCTAAGAGAAATAAATCCCTGATTAAATATCTGAGGTGATACAATAGAGTTAATTATTAGTAACAAACCCAGGCTGCTCAGAATATCTTGACCCCATAAATAAAAGTATCCAAGACATAGGGTTTAACGATTCCAGAATTACCATCTTTATCCTCCCACTGAAGGTACTGAGCACTCTAAGCAGGTTGATATATTTGGCCAATCCCTTCTAAGCTGGCAGGTGCAATGTGTAAGGGCCACTTCTTTGGCCAGTACCTGCTAGAAATGACTGATTTGTTTGCTCCTGTGTCAAGAACACCTGTGAAATTTTTATGGTTGATTTTAAGATCCAATAGTGGGCGCTCCTGTCTAATCAAGTGAGTCCAATACTCCTGGTCAGGGGACCTGGAAGTTGGGATTTCACCTGGACTGTTCACAGAGTGGCAAGGCAAGAATATTATTTGTGCTATCGCATTCCTTGGAGACAGCTGAATAATGCAATTTGTTTGAACTGTAACCTTAACCTCTCCTTCAAAATTTGCATCAATAACACTTGGCAATACCTGAATTCCTCTTGAGTTAATTTGCTTTGTCCCAACACTAAACCTGTGGTATCTGGTGGTAGAGGCCTGTGAATCCCTGTAGGAATTTGTCGTGGGCCCATCTCAGGAGTTAGAACTACTCCCATGGCTGGTCAGAGCCCCAAGCTCCCAGCCCCTGGGCCAGAAACATCCCAGAAGGATAGCAATATCTGACTGGCTGGGCTAGGCTTGATGACATCTGACTGTGAGCCCATGGCTCTTCTTCCTGTGTAAATTGTAATGCCCCTACTGTTTGGCGGCCTGGGCAGGTCCCACCTCCAGTTTCCCAGCAGTGGTGGGGATGTAAGTGGTGTCACAAATAGTGGCTGGCCACTTCCGCCATGCCTGCTGGGGCCACCCCATGCCAAGTGGTCACTTCTCCAATGGCACCTGAGCCAACCAGGTGAATCTCCCCAGTTGCATGGCAATCCATAGTCCCTATTCATGCGCCCAGTCTTTCCACAGTTACAACATTGCCTCTGAGAATTGCGTCTCCTAGACTGAGGCTGTAAATAAAGCTTTTTTCAAAGCTGTGGTGATCATTAAGCCTTGTAATTGCATCGGACCCACATGAGAACAAAGGCGGATCAATTCAGAAACAGTTCCTTTTTTTACTGTTTTGTTCGGTTATTTTCTTGCCGGCTTTTTTTGGCTTTTTCAAAGGTTGCTTGTTTGTTTGGGCCTTCGGAGGCTTTTTTTTCCCCAATTGTTGTTTGTTAAGGGCTTGTTCCAAATTTTGGGTTTTTTTTCCTCTGGTCCCTGCTGGATCTGACTGAAATCTAAGAATTTTTTCACCTTTATTGGATAATTTTCTCCAGGCCTGTCTGGCATATATATTAATTTGATTATAAATTGGTAAGTCATAATTTAACAGTTGTTCTATATCAGCGAATTGTCCCATTCCTGTTAACATCTCTACTGGAATATCAACGCTGTGCCTGTGGTTTCTTTTGGATTGCTAAGTACAAAAATCTATCCAATTTGAGCTCCACAGTAAAGAATCAACTGCAGACAGACACGCCCTGGCTAGTGTGATCCAGTCGTGAGGTGGTAATGCCTCGCTATGAACAAAAGGGGAATTTGGGCCATATGTGGATCAAGCAGACTTTAGCTCTTTCATTCTGTGGTTTAAAAGGAACCACAGCATGAATTTAAACACGCTGTTTTTTTTTTTTGTCTATATGCTCAAAAATTGGAGCAAGCTGTAACCCTGTGATGTCCTTTTCCTCTCCCAATTTTCCTCTCCTAACACCTACATTGGAGTGGGGGAAGTTTGGTTACAGCTGTGTTGGGAAAGCAAACCTTTATCCCAGAGGGAACTGGATGTATCTGAATGGTGGAGGCAGGACCACCCAAACATGGATTATTAAAACCCATTTTTAGTTCACTTTCTGCATTGGACTGGGAACCCTCAGAATTCCACACAGCACCTCGAAGTCCCCCACACCATGGACGTGGTCTTGCCCACTTTGGTCCTCCTGCTGCTGTTCCTGGCTGCCTGTCCCTGTGGCTTCTCTCTGGGGAGGGGCCTCCTCAGCCCACGTGTCCTGAAGCAGCACGATTCCACAGTAGCACCTTGGATCCCTGGATATTTATTTGAAATCTTCTGAAATCAAACCAACATCCAAAGCCTGACCTCCCACGTCAGGAGGGGACCCCACCATTTTGCCCGTGGCTTATTGATGGTCATGTCACCAGATGCCTTATCAGAGGGACTGCCAGCTCTGTGAAGGGACAGCCTGCCATCTCCTTCACTGCTGCCCTCGAAGCGCCCCAGCAGTGTGTGGCCTCTGATGGGTCTTCAAAATACCCGGTGGGGTGTGTGTGGATAAAAGACAACATCAGCCACCCTCCACCCACCCCAAACCCAACCAGACCTCTGCCACCAGACCATGTCACCTCTGTGGGTCACTGTCTTTTAATACCCAGAATAACTTCCTGCCACCAGAGGGCTCAGGGAGCCCCCATTCTGCCTGCCAGGTCTCTTCACCTCTCATGCTGGATGCCATCCCCTGACGAAAATGGCTGAGAGCCACTTAGCAATGGAACCACTCGAAACCAGCCTGGACAGATCCCACCCATTGGCATGTCCTTGAGGGACATGTGACACATTCCAGGGCTTTCCTCATGGAGCTGTCTCCTGGCAGCTAGTGGCCAATGGGAAGCTGGCTTTGGGACTCAACAATGAGAACTAAACATGTGACCTGCACAGTGCCTGCCTTCCCTGGGCTCCCTGTAGCCTCTAAAGAGTCACTTGGAGCTCTGCCAAGGTAGATTCCTGGCACACCCTCCTCCACCAACCATAGAAATTAAACAAACAAAATAGTCTGTCTTGTAAGGGGAGCAGAAGAGCAGACAGCAGGCATAGAGGGACAATGATTCTGTCCAGCTTCCTACTCTTCATTGTCCTCATTACCCTCTTTCTTCTCTGGGTCTGGGGCCGCCCCACCTCCAAGGACCACCTGCCTCCTGGACCCTGGCCTCTGCCCTTCCTGGGAAACATTTTGCAAATAGACCCTAAAGGCTTTCTCAAGTCCTTCCAGGTGGTGAGATGGAAGGGGTAAGGAGGGACAAGGGAGGGAGTGGGTGGAGGGGAAGCCGCTCAAGGCAGCAAGATAGTTGAGGGTGTAACTTGGGGTGGAAGTCTCCAGAGCAGCTTGGGAATTCTCTTTCAGCCATGATCTGGCTCCATAGGCAGGCAGAGAAGCTTCTGGAGTCCGTATGAGAGAATGCATACAGGTAGGATAGACCAGAGGGGGACATTCTGATAGACTTGGGACTTTTGAGTGTTGGTCCTGCAGTGGGGACAGGAGAAGTCCTGGAGACTCAGTGTGGAGAGTATGATTCATAAAATTCAGAGCTGAGAATATTATCGAGAAAGCGGAGACAAAGACCACCTGGGGAAGGACATGGTGTGAGACTTGGATGAAGCTACAGAGGTCATGTTTGGTTTCTTCCCTGATGGGGTTGCAGGAAGCAGGGCTCAGGTTCCATTGGAAGAAGTGGTCCACGTGTCAGACCAGAAGATCGTTCTCTTGGGTTCGATAGTGAGATCTGGACCCTGTGTCCACAGCTGCGGGAGAAATATGGGGACGTCTTCACAGTGCACCTGGGACACCGGCCAGCTGTCATCCTGTGTGGATACGAGGCCATGAGGGAGGCTTGGTGGATCAAGCTGAGGCTTTTTCCGGCCGAGGGCTCATTGCCATCACTGACTCCATCTTCCAGGGAACTGGTGAATGGGGCACAGGGTGGGGACTGGGGTGACCTGGGAATGCATAAGTCCTCCCAACCTTCCTTCTGTGCCCCATCAATCAGGTGTGAGTTTTGCCAATGGAAAGTCTTAGAAGGTCCTCTGGTGGTTCTGTCTGACCACCATGAAGGACTTTGGGATGGGGAAGAGGAGCATTGAGGAGAGAATCAAGGAGGAAGCTCAAAATTTGGTGGAGGAACTGTGGAAATCCCAGGGTGAGTCCCTGGACATGGGTCCCATAGGGGCAGGGAAATGTGGATGCAGAAAGAGAGGAAAGAGGAAGAGAGTGAGAAACGTTCAGGATACAAAGAAATATCTAGAAATAGAAATTTCAAGGAAAAAACCTTAGAAATGAAAGAGCCAAAGATATAAATAGAGCCAGGGTAGACATAAAACATTAGTGAGGCAATGGAGAGGGACATATGAAAGACCGGAACAGAAAGAGAACCGACAGTCTCAGAGAAAGAATTAGAGACAAGAAAGACAGAAAGACACAGATCTACAAAGAAACACAGACCAAGAGAGAAACGAAAAGAATAAGAGACAGAGAGGAAGATGTACAGAGAGAAAAGCTTAGACTCAAAGGTCAAGTGATAGATGGACTGACTGTCCAAGGGACAGAGAAACCAACCTCACTGTGAAGATGGTGCCAGTCAGGTCAGAGTCACCCAGGAGGACAATGTAATGCAGGGGACATCCAAACCTCCATTATGGGCCTCTCATCTCCAGAGACCTATTTGGACCCCACCCTCCTCTTTAACTCCGTCTCGGCCAACATCATCTGCGCCATTGTCTTTGGTGAACGTTTTCATTACCAAGACCCCAAGTTCCTATGTCTGCTGAATTTACTGAATGAAACCTTCACCATCCTCAGCTCCTTTTACAGCCAGCTGAGGTCAAAGATTCCAGGATGGGCCAGAATCTGAGTAGATGGATCCTAGGATGAGACCGGGTTCTCCCTGTCCAGAGCTCAGAAACAAGAAGGCTGGATGGTTTCGGGTATCTGAAGGGGAAGGAGAGGAGCTTACTTTAATCTCTCCCTGCTGCTAACAGGCCAACAGGGTCCCTTCTAGCATCTGTGGTGCCTCTGTAATAAGAATTTGAAAATGGCACCCCTTCCTCGAGTAAAAACACTGTTTAAGTTCATTTACTATGGCACAGCCCAGGAAGCTCTGCCCTGGGGAGATTTCCAGGTCCTGGCTTTGGGCACACATGCAGTCTTGCTTTACCTGCTCACACACACTCCTGTCCTTGGACTCCCAGGTAATCACCGCCACCAGCCCTGCACACACTTCACCCCCTATACTCTCCAGGTGAGGTGATAAGTCAGGTTGGGGGTAGGAATTAGGTGTGGGTGGTGAGAGATCTCAGCTACATAGAAAGCTGAAGCAGGAGGATTACTGAGTCAGTCTCAGCAACTCAGCAAGACCCTGTCTCAAAATAAAAAAATAAAAAGGGCCGGGGCTGTAGCTCAATGGTAAGTGCCCCTTGGTTCAATCTTCTGTATATACTCCCCCTCCCCCAAGGAGTGGCCCTGTGTGTGGCCCTGTGTGTGCACACACACATGTGTATGTATGATGTGCTCCTGCATGCTCAACTGGGAAACACATTCCCCCTTTCCATGAGCTTGGCTTTAGAATGTCCTAGGGTTGTGGAAGGCACAACTTCAAGGCTGCCAGTGGATGCCCAGGGCCCCAGCACCAGCCTATAGAGAGCACAACAGATTCTTGGAGTTTCTTTTCTCACTTTAGGTGTTTGAACTCCTCTCTGGAATCCTGAAGCATTTGCCTGGCCCCCATACTCGTATGTGCAGAATCATTCAAGAACTAAAAGATTTTATCACTGAGAACATTGAGAGGCACCGAGAAACCTTGGACCCCCATGCCCCCTAGGACTTCATTGAATCCTTTCTGCTCCACATGGACAAGGCAAGGCCAGCCTGGATTGGGGCTGGGTGGAAATGAGAGTGTGGGGATCGTACTGACGCTGAGCTGGTAGTTTGTGCGTTAAGTATTGGATACTTCCTTACCTTGTTAATTGAGCCACTGGCACCACCTCCACGCCCCCAACCCAGTTCTTTGTCAGCCTTCCCAACAATGACTTCTAAGACTTCTAACTGAAGAGTTATTGGGCTCAGGACCCCACTCCCCCCACTTCCTCTCATTCTAATTGGTCAGAAGCCCTCCTCTGTGTTCTTATTGGCCTGGGTTCATGTCCATTCTCACTGCTCTGGCAAATGTCATACAAGGTGTTAAGTAGTTTAATTATAATCCCTGGAGCGACATCTGCAACCACCAATCAGGAAGCAAAGATACCCGAGAACAGACTAATCACAAAGCTGCAGCAATCATTAGGCAATGGTGCTTATTGAATGTTTACAATCATAATATTAAAAACCCCGTGCGATGAAGTGAGGCACAGAGAGGTCATGTTTTTTGTCCCATAATTTAAAAAAGAGGAAATGGCAGGACTTGAGTTTAAACCCAGGAATTCTGGCCTCAAAGCTACGCTGTTGCTACTTTGTAGACAGACCTTGAATACAGGAAAGAGGAAATAAGAAAATCTGGTATAGGGCAACTTCAGGGTTGGAGGGTAAAAGACCCAGAAACTAGAAGTTTACCCAAGGAGAGATGTTAAGGATTATCAACCTTCACTGACAGGAGCAATTTGTTCCTGAGAGTGAGTTCCACCATAAGAACCTCGTGCACGTGGTGCTCTCCCTGTTCTCCGCTGGAACAGAGACCTCCAGCACCACCCTCCGCTATGGACTCTTATTGCTTCTGAAGAACCCAGATGTCCTGGGTGAGCAGGTCCTCTCTATTGGGGGAGGAGGGGAGGGCAGTCCAGGATGGCTCAACCTAAGGTGGAAGGTGGTTGGTTAGTGGGTAAAAACAGACTTCAATTCTGATGAGTCAGGAAAAATAAAAGAATCCACCCTAACCCAGATGTACCACTTATAATAAATTGTAGCCACTGAAAGCACTTTCAAGTTGACAAGGTGCTTTACAGGTGACAAAATAATTTCATTCAAATGTAGTTTAAAAGTTACTTTTGTGTTTTATGACTTGTTTTGCAGTTTGTAAAAGAGGTTTGCAAAGCATGCGTAGGTCACAAAGCATTACCTTTTTGCAAAGCATTTTGCACTCTGCAAAAATCATATGTCTCTCAAAAGAAAACCCTGAGGTTCACAAGCAACTTGACAATTTGGAGTATATTGCTGATTTATGATGAATTTAAAAGCTTTTTGATGCTTGTGCTGATGGTCTGCAGAGCAGAATTGGAGAAACTCTCATAGAATCAAAACTGCTTCCCCAGAATGGGAAAGTGACTTATCCAAGATCACAGAAAGAGTCAATGAGAGAAAAAGATATGACATTCATTCCAGACACAACTCATTCTCAGTAAGAGAAGAAGAAAAAGAAGGGTGTGACCTTAAGTGTTGAATTAATTTCCACTCAACCATCTTTACTCAAATGAACATGTCTCCTAATTAGAATGGAAGAATTAGACAGGACTTATCCCTAAAGGAGGCATTGACTTTCTTTCCTGATGCTTTCTTTGAGAAGGAGTGATAATACCTTAAGGAACAGTTCTCTCTTCCCCCAGCCTGAGGCCACTCTTCAGGTACCTTTGTTGACCCATTTGTTGCGGGTTTTCACTGATGTGGCTCCTCCCACACCCTCTCCAATTCAGAGAAAGTCCAGGCAGAGATTGACAGGGTGATTGGCCAACACTGTCTTCCTGCCCTTGAGGATTGAGCAAAAATGCCTTACACGGATGCTGTCATCCATGAGATCCAGAGATACAGTGACCTCACCCCACTTGGTATCCCACACTCTATCATTCAGGACACCAACTTTTGAGGATATCTTCTCCCTAAGTTGAGACCTGCAGGGCCACAGAATCATGGATGGAGGGTGCCTGCTTATGATAGTTGTGTAGTCTGATGATAGTTCATGTCTCTGGTCCCTGGCTATGTGGAAGATTTTTATTTCCATATTGTTATGGGGTGATGGAGATTTTGGATATATAGAAAAGTCCTCTCCTTTCCATTCTTTCTTCTTACTTTTATTAGATGTTAGAGTTTCTTTTGCTGAAGAAGTAGCATATATGTATTGAAATTTGTTCTATGATGGAGCTTTCTTTCCTTTCCTCATCTCCCCTAACTTCCTCTTTCATGAGAAGGTGCTGATAGTTTGACATTTTGGCTTCCACACTGCCCTTAAGCTCATATAATTATATACACCATATGTTGACATATACATGAGGTCATACCATGCTATCTCTATCCTTTTGCAGCTGCGTGGACAGTGTGGTATATACTTATGTTCACACCGACACATTTTGCTTTGATTTTTATTTTATGTGTTGGTGGGGATTTCTTTTTATAATCTCACAGTTGTATATCCTTAGGTCAGTGCCAGTGGTTCCAACTCATTCCATTCTCCCATGGTGCTGTATGTTCCTGAGTTGGAAGTATTCAGAGATGATGTTCACAATATCACACGACTCTAATCCCCAACTCATCAGATCGGATTCTGGCTCCAGTGATGGTGTACAGTGCTTGGCAGTTTCAGCCAAGCCAGATGGGAACATGCGGTTGATGGATCATGGGGAAGTCCAAAGGGTCTTAGGGGAAGAGGGATCAGGGTGGTCAGTAGGGATATCCAGAAGGCCCAGGAAACAACTATTAATGAAACAGGGCAGAATTATTTCAGTAATTTAGCCTCCAACTGCAGAGCCTTATTGTGGGTAAAGCTTGTTGTCAACTGTGGATGTACAGTCATTGATTCAGTCACACCCTATTGATGGCCATTTGGCTCTCTTGAATTTGATACCCTCTCAGAACACTACTGTGTATCCTGTCATGAGCACTGTCCTCCATGACCCACGCCACTTTGAGAAGCCAGACACATTCTACCCTGGACACTTCCTGGAAGCCAAGGGCAACTTTAGGAAATGGGAAGCCTTTATTCCTTTCTCCATGGGTGAGCTGCTCCCTTCTCACTAATGAGACTGTTCTGTGTGATTTTTCTCCCTTTGTCCATATTAATCACTGGGTGGGAAAGATGAGGATTTTGAAGGGAGAAGGGGAATGATGGAAGAGGAAGGCACAGACTAAGTTGATGGTGGAGATAAAAGTAAAAAAAAAAACTCAAGATGCACACACATGCATAAGCACAGGAAAACCAAACAAATGAATGACCTGTCATGGAGCACCTGTTATGAATCAGGAATCAGGAAAGGCATTTTTATTTTTTCCCAATATTTATAGACAAGAAAATAGTTAAAATGAAGATGAAAATCACCTGTGATTCACCAACAAAAACATACTTGTTGGTATTACAGAAGATGTCCAAATTACACATATTTGCACATATGAAGTTAGGCGATGGATAGCTAGCTGGATAATAGGTAGATACGTGAACAAAAGATTTAAAGAAAATAAGGAGGTGGAAAGGATGTGATGAGACAGAAAATGTATTGAGCTCTTTTT